CTTGTTAGAAAGATGAATTACCCAAAACAAGCACCCCTCAAAACCCAACAGGAGCCGTGGATCACTGCTAATTGTGCTCAGGTCACTGAAGCTGTAGGTTATAAACCCTTCAGCTGACACTGGAAGAAGCAGCTCCGCTCTCTCCCTATCCCTGGGTTTTCATTCTTGCCCCTGAGTCATTCCATGTGCTGTGCCTGGTGAGCTGGGTGAGGAGGTGAAGAGGGCTGGGAACAGTACCTGTGTTTGTGGTCGTCAAATTATTTTTCTGTTTGAACCATTTCCCCCCTCTGGTTCATCACACAGTGATGCAAATGCTTTTGCACGGGTAAGGAGGATGAAGCCAGGGGCAGGAATCAACAGGCAGAGGGTGGATTTGCTGGTTTTGGCACCAGTGCTGGCATCTGCCTGCCGAAGTGACTGCCAGACTTCAGCAATTGTCCTTTCTGTTTGCTCTAGAGACTGCTTCCTGCAACCTGCAGAGGAGTTAGTTCATTTCTGATCGTATCAAGAACATTTATTGTTCTGGGAAACGCAATTGCAGACCATAAAACTACGAAACTAAAGGTTTATATTGTCCTATTAAAGTCTGTGCCCCGGAGTTCTGTATCTTTACATTGCTTTATATCGTTTAGCATCAATATATGGGTTTATTTCCATCACACATTGGTAACTATGTCTGTTGAATGTAGGTACAGCAGCAGGAAGAGGAGGAGAAACCACTGGCCGCATCAAATCCAGTGCTGGAACTGGAACTGGCAGAAGAAAAGTTGCCAATGACCCTTTCCAGACAGGAGGTAAAATAAATCAGCGTAAACAGACTCCCTGAATTCACAGCAAATGTATCTGAAATTATTAGAGATACATTATTAGAGCTGTGTTTTTTTTTTCCCAGTGAACTGTACTTTTTATGACAGTTTTATTAAATAATAAGCTTCCATTTTTACAGTCAGCAATTAGTGTTATCAAGGCCCTGCTCTCCAAACGCATGCAGAGGGAGATACAGATGGGTAGAGTCTCTTCATTATATGGATTTATACAGATGCTTTCTAAGATTTTACAGCTCTTTCAGATGACTTCTGGAGTAGTATCCTGAATATTAGCGTTATCCTTGGATAATGCTCACTGTTTTTTACAGGAGTTGGTTACAGGACTGGTAACACAAACTGCTGTTTTCACGTTTGTTTTGAATTTTGGTCTTTATGTCTTGTGTATGCACTTTCTCTCTGCTGTTGATGCCCTTGGTGTGCATGTTTTGGTCCAGGTTTAGGTATTGCTGTGCCAGAGCTCTTTCCATCCCTGTTTTTTTTGGATATATTTGCAAGTTAAATGTTTGCCAACACACAGCAAGACACCCAGACTGAATAAACAAAATAAGGTCTCGCTATTAGTTTCTTGTTGTCCAACCAGTCTGTTGGCATGGTGAGGTGGTGACATGAAATGAAGTGTAAGCCTGATTATCAGTTGTATCAGTTAGCTTATTGCTAGATGGATTAAATGAACTTAGTTCAGTTGTTTAGTTTCAGTGATTAATTCAGAGTTGGAGCTGTTCAGCCTGGAGAAGAGAAGGCTGGGTGGAGACCTCCTCGTGGCCTTCCAGGATCTGAAGGGGCCTACAAGGAAGCCAGAGAGGGTACTTTTTGTCAGGAACTGTAGTGACAGGACAAGGGGGAATGGTTTCAAACTGAAAGAGAGGTTTAGATTAGATGTTAAGAAAAAATTTACTCTCAGGGTGTTGAGGTACTGAAACAGGTTGCTCAGAGAAGCTGTGGATGCCCCATCCCTGGAAGTGTTCAAGGCCAGGTTGAATGGTGCTCTGAGCAACCTGGTCTAGTGGTGGGTGTCCCTACCCGTGGCAGGGGCATTGGAACCATATGATCTTTAGAGTCCCTTACAACTCAAACCATTCTGTGATTCTGTGAGTAATGGTTAAGTATACAGAGATTTTTCAAGCAATGCATGAAATAAAGAATTGGGAGAATAAAGTTCAGTTTTTGTCTCTGCCCGTGACTTTGCAAATCAGTCAGGGGAGGCTTTTTCACTTCTGTTATATCTCCTTTTTAATAGCAACCCCATTAGATTATGGGACTGCATATTTTCCAAATGCTTAAGGGTGGGAATTTTCAGCAGATCATCTTGTAGCTGTTCTGGGACAACCTGCAGCTCAGTTAGTATTTTTATTGCCCAGGCAAATAGGTGAGTGAGATAATCGTCAAGTTCCTTTGTGATTTTGAAAATGGTCTTTAGGCTCTGCCAGAGGGATGATTTTTGTGTATTTGTTTAAACAAGTCAGAGCAGGAAGAAGTTAGGCTGTGTCAAACAGCCTGGGATTTTATGCAAAATTTAGATCGGTAATATTTGGAATGACCTTTCACTGAAGTACCGTGGGAATTTTATATTTAGATTGTAAAGTGTCTGGAACATTTTTCTACTGCTTAAAATACTGCCATTTCCTCTCCAGTCCAACTCAGCTTGTTATTCTAAGCAAAGTAAATAAATCTGTCATTCTGGATTTTATTTTGCTTCCTTTATGCTTCAGGGAATGCTTTGATTTCTTTTCAGGTTATCAGGAGGTTACGAGAGAGGGGTGAGCCCATCAGGCTGTTTGGAGAAACAGATTATGATGCATTTCAGCGTCTGAGGAAGATAGAAATTCTTGCACCTGAAGTGAACAAGGTAAGACTGGCCCTTAGTAACTTACTTGTGGTGGCATAATCAATGAGTAACCCAGTAAGAGTTACTGAAAATCAGTTGCAGTAACTTCATTTTCAGGAAAGAAAAGTAATACAGAGCAAAGGGAACTATCTGTTCCATCTCATTTATTGCCTGAGAAACTGTGTTGAATGTCAGAGTTTTGTGCACAATTACAGTTATGTAAGCATTTAACCCTAGGAACCTTCCAGGCCCTTGTCAGTTGGAAGAGGGGCCTTCAGGTGGCACTGATACCCCAGCCTGTGCTGCTCCTGTTTTTAACCAGCAGAGAACAGTCATGTACTGCTAAAACAATCCTGTGTTTGTGATTATGTGCATCCCTGAGAAGCTACAGGTAAGTAAGAGCAGGGCTACATCCTGTCTCTCTGGCATATAAATGATTTTTCAAATCCCTGGATTCCAGAGGGATGGTTTGTTACAGAAACTTCATTTTTTCCCCATCTTCCCTTCAAATTAGCCATCAGTTCAAAAACTGACAGAAAGATGCAACTAATTTATTCCTTGTGTCTTAAGAAATGATCAATTAAGTGAGAAGATACAGTTGGGGTTTGCTTTGCATTTGCTGTTAACCAAATTTGTAACCCTACGAAGAGAGAGATGTTTTGGATTTTCTTCCCTAATTTGTGCCAACCTGAATTGTTTCAAATGGTGTTGCTGGAGATGCCCATAAAAGGAAGGCCTTTTCCTCTTCAAGTCTTTAAAATACACAGATCTGAATGTTTAAAAATAAAAATTCTGCTAATGAAAGCTTCCCCTTGAGTGACATGGATGACAGTAATAGGTGTATTAGGAAATAGTGAGCTCACAAAGAGGACTGTGTTGGATTTGTGTGTTACGTGTTTCAGCCACTCCTGCTGCTGTCTGGGGGGATTCTGTGTGTTGCTTAGTCACCACCAGTTTGTGGTTCAGATGTTTTTAGACTACTAAATGATTAATAGAAACGTTCCAGACAGCCAAGTATGATGATGGAAGAGAGGAAATAACTGTGCATATCCATTCCCTGTGGAGTGGCTGAATGTATCTGAGGGTAAGAACTGTCATACTCCTTTATGGAGCTTTGTATTTTATGTCTCAAGACAGGAATGCAAATCCCCCAACTGTGACTAAGACAAGTCTCTTGTTCTATTCAAAAGCAGCTTTTAACTCTCTCTCTGTATATGGTTTTAAACTGATTCTGGTTTTGTAATCAACTACTCTATAGTAGGGGCTTTCAAACATTTAACATACATAAAACACTCTGGTATGTTTAAATGATTTGTTATAAAAGGAAGCAATGCAAATGTTTTCTGTGATGGTGCTGAAGGAGTGTTACCTTATTTCAGCTTTTTTTAGGGCAGATCTAAAGACTTGTAGAGCTGATGATGGTTATGGTCTGTTTTCTGCTTGTTTTGGGGTGTTTCAGTCCATTGCTTGGAGACAATGTCTTGAAGGAAGTCCTCCATGCTTTTTTGGTAGAAATGCTGTAAAAAGTCTTTTTGATAGGTATGAACATTGCAGAAGTTCATGCACCTGCTTTTTGTTAAGTGCTGAAGCAGTCCTTGGAGTTAGTTTAAATTCAGACAACAAGGCCAAACCATTATGCATGTTTTTACAGAATTTGCCTTTTCTTACACAGCAGCTGAAAGCTCACAGTGGCAGTACTGAAGTGCTTTTATTTACTTGAGGTTTTTTTTCCTAAATTGGTCGTTTTTTTATCTTTTCTAGGGCTTGAGAAATGACCTGAAGGCTGCTTTGGATAAGATTGATCAGCAGTATCTGAATGAAATTGTAGGCGGCCAAGAAGCAGGAGACGACGACTCCCAGAATGACCTGAAAGTCCACGAGGAGAATACCACTATTGAAGAACTAGAAGTATGGGATGGTTGTATCTTAACTAAGGGATGTTAGATGTTGTTGGGAGAAAGCTTCAGGATTGTTCAGACCAAGCTAGCCTTGTTTTCAACAGCTAACTGAGGCGTTCTGAAGTATCCTCAAATAGGGAATTTAGGTTTCCAAGCCTTGAGTTGCATTGTGGGTGCTCACAGTAGACAAGTGAAAACTCAGGTGGTCTTTGTTCACAGCACTTCATCAGAAGGGGGACAGGTGTTGCCTGCAAAGACAGTGATGCAGATAGGATTCCTTCTGCAGGGGTTTCAGAGGTGGAGAATTTATTTACAACACATTACCTGGTCATAAATTCTGAAGTGTTTCCAATGAATGTTTGAGAGGGTAGTGAGCTCAGTACCAGTGAATTATCCCTATACAAGAAATACGGATGCTGAAAAACTAGACACACAGAAAGAATGTTTGATACATAAACATCCAGGATGGGGAAAAAAAAAAGTGAACATCAGAAGTAGGCGGATAACAGGAAATACAATAAGTGCAGAGATGATGTGTCCCAGAAACTTGAGTGCAAATGTTCTGAAAGAACCCTGTGGTATTTGTGTGAGTGAGCAGAGAGTGAAGGCCACGAAATGCATTCAACACCTGGTATTTTAGAGTAATGTTTTGAAAAGCACATTAACTTGAGCTGAAGACTTTTACCCTTAATCTTCAAAACTCTTTGCAGGAGTTAATCTTAATAACGTCCTTCCAAAAGCGTGTTTAGGAAATAATCTGATTTATAACTGAAAGCTTAAGTGAATACGTTATTATTAGGAAATAGTCTGGCTTTTTCGTTAGGCTGCCAGAGGTTCTGGTTTAAAATAACTGCAGTACCAGGATGGAAACTAGTTGTAATGGAGCTGCATTTTATTGATCTGTTAGTTCTCAAAA